CATCCCCCGGGTGAGGTTGACGTAGGACGGGAAGAGAGCGGTGGCATCGCTGGCGAACAGAGGAAGACGCCGAACCGCGCGGGGGCCGGTCCAGGAGCGGTCCAGGATGGTGTCGTAGACGTCCCACTGGTTCCAGAGGGTGACGCCCCACGCGCGTTGCAAGCACGAGGTGCCGAAGACGCCGACCATGCCTCCCTGCGAATTGACGTTAGCGGAATGCCCGAGACACGTTCAGGACACTGACCAACGCGGCGGGGAAGGGGACGAAGAGAATGTGCGTCCACATCGTTCCGAGGGATCTGTCGCGTAGCGCGCAAAGTCGGGCATGTTGGCGAGGGAGTGGTTAGAACCACAGCAGCGCCACCACGTGGGTACACACCCATTTTCCCATCGCGGAGGTGATGGAGCCACAACAAGCCAGGCGAGCGCAGGACCGGTGGGCCGCGTGCCTGATCGATCAACCTCTCGTCCGAAGCGAGACGAGCGCGGCTCTGGACGAGACAGTAGACGAGAAGGCCAACACAGATGGAGGGAGAGTGATGCTTTGAGAGTGTAGAGCCAACGAAGGCGGTTGGGGCGGAAAGAACAGAAGGGAGCTCGATGAGCCAGAAGAGCAAGAACCCGATGAATCGCTGGAGGGTGGTGCCGACAGAGGGAGGAAACCGGGGGCCGATGGTCTCCCATCGGTGCCCGAAGAGGCAGCGGAGCATGGTGGACACATAGGCGCCTCCTTGAAAGTCTGGAAAATCGGCGTGAAAGGTAGGCACGGACTTTCGAGGGAGAGGTGCTCACTGAGGACGGATACCCAGAGCATAGCGGCCGCTCCGCGAGCAATGACGGGCCAGTAGTGACCGTACATACCGAAGGAAGTTCGGAGAAGGAGAGGATAGCCGACGTGATAGTTCGCGGCGGCCCGGGAGTTGAAGGCCATGGCGAGACCGGAGACGGAGGCTGCGATCCATACGACGATAGTTGCCTGCCACCACGAGAGGCCTGCACCGACGATGCTGGATCCTAGCGTCCTTCGGATGCCAGAGGTGAGAAGGGCAGGGGCGAGAGGAGAGCAGGGGCATACCAGTTGCCGAAGCCCATGCCAAACCAGAAGAGGCAGAAGTTATGGGCCCGCCAATTGACCATCGAAGGCGGGGACGGCGCGAGGTCTTCGTTCGTCCAGGAGTGCGCGCGGCGGGCGTTGCCGTGGGTGCGGACGTAGGCACAAAACGCGTCGCGAGAGCGCAGGGCGCGGCTAAGTCGGTGCGCCCACTCGCGGACGGGCTTGAGGGAAGGCATGTTTGAGCGGGAGAGGGCGAAGGGGGACGCACGGGCGAAATATAGGACAGACGATTGGTGCCGCGGAGAAGAGCGATAAGTCTGCGCACGGGGTTGGCGGTGCGGGCCGGGGGCGAGCGTCGGGAGGCGGGTGAAGAGCAGGTTCTGCGAGAGCACGAAACGCCGCCAAGCCGTCGCCCCGCTGCTGGAATGAATGGACGACGCCCACCTCGCTCCGGCCACAGGTTCACCCGCGCAAGGCGAGTGTCGGGCGGGAGTCGAGCTGCAGAAAGAGCGGCGGCGGGGACAGGATTGAGCACGACAATGAGTTCTCGCCAGACACGCTCCTCTCGTGCCGCCTCGCAAGCTGACTCCCAAGTTCACCTGCGACATCCCAGTGGACACGGAGTCCAAGAAGGCGTTCAAGGCATCCAAGAAGGTGCCCCGCCGCCCGCGCCCAGACCAGGGCTCCAAGCGCCGCAAGCCTGGCAGCGCACGCAAGCCTTGCAACGCACGCCACGGCCCCGCGCATGCCGCGGCGTACGAAGCAGGACGCCCGCCAGCCGCTCATCTACCTGGAAACAGACGAGGAGGAAGAGGGGTACGCCCACTTCGCTGATGATCTAGTCGAGGCATTCGACGAGATCAAGTGACGGAGACCGTCAGCCAGGGAGTTCTGAGTTCGCTGTCCCTCGACTTACTTTAGTCGCACGTTGACTTCCATCCTAATGCACAAGTTTATCAGTGCGTGAGTCCTTCAGTTGACACTCACCATCCGTCACGCCCATCGCTCAGCCTTCGTTTCGCGCGAGGAGTGATTAGAGTTCATGTTAAACTAGCTGGTATCGACCACGATTCGGTTGCGGGTGCATACAACGATAGCGCGAGCATTCAAAGCAAACCTAAGAAGAGCAGCGCACTGCAAACAGTCCCTCCTCCGCTATCTCGACACTCAGACCACCGCGTCCACGACATACAGCACCTGCTGCGGCCGCACGAACAGCCCCCGCGACTCGGACGTCGACATGTCCGACACCGCGGGCGACACGCTCCTCAGCCTCTTCGACCGCTCGATGCTCAGCTGGTCGCCCTCGCGCTTGCCCAGGCTGCTCTTGCTCGAACTCCCCGCCCACTCGTTCCTCCGCCGCCGCCCAATCGTGTCCCCGTAGTCGTCCCACTCCGACGACGAGCCGATGTCGAAGTACCGGACGCCGCCCCAGGTGCCGTCGTGCCACTGTCGGCCGTCGAGCTTGTCCCCCGGCCACGCGTCGTTCATTGGTACCTCCACCCCGACCCACGGCCCGACCTCGCCCTCGACCTCACCGATGTACCGCGCAAGCGCGCGGAAGCGGGTCCGCTTCGATGAGATGATGCACGGGATGCCGATCTCGAGCGTGTCGCCCCGCGGCACCTTTGCTGCCGCGCCCTCGCGGATTGTGTCCGTGGAGCCCTTGCGTTTCAGCGAGTCCCGCACGGTCGAGACGCTGCTCGTAGAGACCACGCTCTCCTGCTTCTCGTGCGAGATGGCCGGGCGGGCGGACTTGCCCTTAGCAGTCCCGCCAGCTTCGCCGGTCGCCGACTCGGGGCCCTTTCCGTTCGCTTTCGTTTCCCCAGCGGGCTTCGGCAAGGGAGGGGTGGGTGTTGTGGACTTCGCAGCCGACTTGCGCGTCGCGTTCGTAGTCGTGGACTTGACTGATGAGACCGACGTCGACGATGCAGTTCGCTTCGCGACCGGTGTCGACCGTACTGAATCCACGGGCTTGTCCTTGAGAGAGGGTGCGGTCCGCGATGCAACCGACGGGGGACGCTTGGGGCTGCGAGAAGCAGAAGGGCCAGGAGCCCGCGAGCTGGCCGTCGACAGAGTGGACGCCGCGGAGGTCTTCCTTACGCGTCCTACGCTACTCGGAGTGAGCTCCGACGGCGCAGTCTCAAACGCAGTAGTATTTTCGCTTGTGGTCGACACGGTGGAAGTCGCACGCGAGGGAGCGCGGGAAGGGGTTCGGGATGGCGCGCGAGTCGAGCCCGATGGAGTGCGGAGGCCAGAGGGACCGGCGGCAGGACCTTTCCGGATCGTAGAGGTTGTGGAACGAGTGGATTTGACGGAGGCGGCCACAGATTTCGGGCGCGGATACCTCTCGGGTGTCGTCGATGAAGCTACAGACGCCGTACTCTTCCGGATACTGGCAGTGGACATACTGCTCCTTGGTAGCGTCCCCGGGCTAGGAGAGAGAGGTGATCGTGCCCTGTTGGTGTCGGTGATACTTGAGCGCGAAAGCGCAGGGGTAAGCTTTGAGTCCGGGCGAAGGCTGGTGGGTGAAGGCGGCACGCGTCGGGGGAAAGTCGCCGTCGTCGTTCTGGAGGCCGTTGAATGCGTACTGTGAACGGAATGCAAGGAGGCACTAGACGACTTGACCTGTTCGCGGCGGACCGAAGACCGAGCAGCACTACGGGTAGAATGTAGACTGACGGTGTCCGAGTCGTTTGATACTGGGCCGTTTCGGACTGTAAGTCGTCCACCACGTGGAGGTGAAGGGGCCGAGGGATTGGTGAGATCCGCAGGATCTTGGACACCGAGTTCTAAACGGTGGCGCATGAGCAAGGATGGGAACGTAAGAAAGATCGAGCCCACCGTTGGCGATTTCCCCTGCAGCCCAAGGTTCCAATCCAGAGAATCCATTTTCGTGTTTGATGGTAGCAAAACGCTTCTTGAGGAACTGAACGATATCCTTGCGGGCCTGCTCCACCTGGACCCGCACATGGGAAGTCGACGAAAGCAACGCAGCCTCAGGGTCCGCAGGATGAGGTCGCAGCAGCACGGAGTCGACGATGGTCTGCGCGGAAGGAGGTTCGCGATGGAGTCCAACAAGAGAACGCAGCGTACTCACCTGGTACGCCATGGCCGCATTCTTATCATTCAGACCCCTGCGGAGGGACTCCAGGAACATCTCGACAACCTCTCCGTCCTCGAACCTGACACCGTCGGCCTCCATGATAGTAACCCATTCCGGCTGCTCGAAGCACTCGGCCGCTTGTGTGGCCGCGACGTTATCGATGGTCTTGCGCGCCGAGAGAACCATGTCGCGGACGGATTCGCCCCAGGTGTCGATCACGGTATCAAGCTTCCGGAGGGCGTCGTGGGCGGCCTTGAGGAGCGGGAAGACATTGATGGAGTGGTGCGCTTGCTGAGACCCTTGAGAACGGTGTCACGGGTCTTCTGAGGGAGACTGGCGAACTCGGAGATGCACCAGCCCTCGCCGAAGAGACCGACGAGCGCACGACGGGCGCCGCGCTCCAGGTGGGGGTTCTTGACATCGTCGGAGATGGCAAACTCGAGGATGCGGGGGGCACGGCGGGCGCATTGGCGGCAGCGACAGCCCCCGGTGCCCCACTTGCCGCCTGTGGTAGCTTCGTATTCGGAGAACTCGAGGAAAGCGTGACAGAGCCCGTGCATCATCTCCTGGACGATGCGCGCCTGGATTTCGTCGTAGAGAGTGTCGAGAGAGAGGTAGGAGGCCGAACGCATGATGTGGAACGCGGTCTCGAGATCGAAGGTGCGATGGGAGAAGATGAGGGTGCCGGTGTAGATGAAACCGAGGGTGAAGTGAAGGGAGGCGGGGGTAAACGGGGGGACGGGAGATTGACGGTGAAAGGCTCGCCGGGAGTGGACTTGGTGGACCATTGGAGGAGCTGGGTGTTGAAGTAGGGGCAGCGAGAGACGAGGATGAAGCGGTGGGAGGTGAAGATGGCGGTCGCACTCTCGTGGTTCGTGGACGAGAAGGAGCCGGTGAGGGAGATGCGGATGTCGGAGTAGAGCCGGGACCTCCACATGAAGACAAGGTCCTTGCGGAGCTTGTCGAGGCGGGCGTCGTCGCCATCGCCCTCTTCGGAGGCCTCGTTGGAGTCGAAGAGAAACTCGAAGGCCTGTCCGAGACCCTTGCCGGTGTAGAGGTACTCGAGCTCGTTCGAAAAGAGGGCGGGGTTGATGCTGGTGGGGAGGCGGAGGAGGGCGCCGGGGGGCGAGTTGTGCGAGGGGGACGGTGCGCGGTAAGGAGACGGAGAGCGAGAGGGGTCGGAAAAGTCGATGCCAAGCGTCAAGGAGAGGGAAGACTGGGCGGGGAGCGTGCCCGTCGGAGAAGAGGAATACGGGAGCGGGGAGGCGGCGGGCGGGGGCTTGAAGGAGAAGTAGCGGGCCTGGAAAGAGGGCGGGGCACGGGCGTAGACGACGGCTGGAGACGGACGAGGTCAGCGTCGGCCAGCGGCAGATCGATGGGCGGCGACCGCGCGACGACGGCGACGGCAGGCGGGGGCGGGGCGGGGGCGGAGACGAGGACACGCACCTTTGTGGCCCCAGACTTCCTCGACACCCTTGCCGTTGTCGGACGAGAGCTCCCAGACGACGTCCGCGAAGCGATCCTTTGCGTGGTCGAAGAGGGCTTGGAGGTCGTCCTGCCAGTGGACGGTCGACCGGTGGGTCGCCTCCTGGAGACTGGGCGGGTGGACGCCGTCGGGGCCATGGGGAACGAGTCGGAGGGGGAGGGCGCGGGCGTGCGCCCGGAGCAGGGACGGGTATCGGGGAGAGAGCGGCGAGGGCGGCGGGAGCGTGGGCGCGGGTCGGCAGCGTGCGCAACGGGGCCAAAGGCAACGTCGAGCCCGGCGCGGGCAGCGAGCACGGCGCCTCCGCCGCTCCCACCACCTCCACGCGGCCCCCACGCCCATGGCCCTCGCCTGCCGCCGCCATGCCCCCGATGTACGTCGTCCCCGCGGCGAGGAGCGCATGCTGACCGCCCCGCAGCCGCGACAAGTTCACGATCCACTCGCGCGCCGTCGTCTGCCAGGACGTCGAGCTCAAGGGCGACATCACCATCGGCGCGGGCACGATAGTCCACCCGAAGGCGACCATCTTCGCCATCGCCGGGCCCATTGTCATCGGCTCGGGCTGCATCATCGAGGAGGGCGCGATCATCGTCAACCGGTCAGTCCGCCCTCTCTCTGCTCGTCGCCGCCGCTGATGCCCCCCAGGCGGAAAGAGGTGATGCGCATCGGGGACGACAACCTGTTTGAGATCGGCTGCCGTGCGTGTGCCCACGCCCGTCCTCCTCCCCTGCTCACAGCCCGCCAGGCGTCGAGTCGCCCACCGTCGGGAACTGCAACACCGTCTGCACGCGCGCCCGCGTCCACCACACCCTCCGCATCTCCTCCTACTGCGTCGTCGGCGCCGGCGTCCTCGTCGTGCCCACCGAGGACGAGGTGCTGGACGAGTACACGGTCATCCACGGACCCGCCGCCGAGCGCCGCATCTGGAGCGGGCGGGGCAAGGTCCAGGAGATGGATCTCCGCCGCAAGCACGCCGAGTACCTGCGCGAAATGCTCCCCAAGTTCAACCGGCTCAGGCGGGGCGACGGCGCGTAGCCACCCGCGCATCGTCCACTACACCGTCGCTCTACGTTTCTATCTATCGCCACGGGTCGAACAGCACCTTCCCGCATCTCCCTTTGTCAAACTGCTCGTAGACCGCCTTCGCCTCGTCAAAGCCCACAATCTTGTCAATCAGGCTCGCGGGCCCGCCCACTCCCCCGAAGACGTCCTGTCTCTTGAGCAGAATCTCTAGCGCGAGCGGGAACATCGCGCGCACCGGGCAGCGTCCAAAGTCGAACGACACGTTCTTGTTGTACACGTCCCGCCCGGTGTACGGCAGCGGGGGCTCCTGGTGCACCCCGACCGAGCTCACCGTCCCGAACGGACGCACGATGTCGTACGCCAGCGTGAGCGCGCTGTTGTTGCCTACGACCTGCCCAGCCGTCGTCAGCCATGGACGGCGCTGATGGACAACCTTGGCGGACGCACCTCCAGGATCGCGTTGCAGCCAGCGCCGTCGGTGCACTCTGTCACCATCTTCTTGCCGTCCTCGATCGAGGCAACCGTGAACGTACCCGACCCCTTGCCGGAGATGCTGATCGCCTCGTACACCGCGCTCATCTTCTCCCGGCGCGACTGCAGGGGGTCGATGGCGACGATTTGGAACACCAGTCCTTGACTCCGCTCCAGGCCCGCGAGCATGTCGAGCAGACTGACCGCAGCGCACTGGGCGCGGGTATCACAGTTAGCACGACCTTGGGACGCCCTGGGTACGAACACGGGTGCGACCACTCACAATCCCGACTGGACCCAGGCCGATCAGGCCGACGGTCAGCTTGCGGTCGGCGGGGCTCATGGCGAGCGCGGCCGACACCTGGGTGCGCTCAGAGATCGTGCTTCGGGGGACGAACGCGCCGAAGGGGTACGGCTTGCCCGTGAGGATCGGCGCGATCTTGGGGTGCTGGAGCGCCTGGATCGCTGCGAAGACCCCGGTGGGCAGGATGTCCGCGAGCAGGAGCAGAGAGCTGTCCGACAGGGGGAGAGACCGCTCTCGGCGAGAAGAGACGTCTGAAGAGCACTGAGGTTGTAGAGCGTCCCGCCGGCCTTTGGGATGCGCGCATATTGGGCCTGTCCTCCGGGGAGCGCAGGAATGCCGAGCAGGCAGGAGTGGATGCAGCGACAGGTGACCCCGGTGCGGCAGAAGCTGAGACTAGGGTGAGCACGAGAGCATGCATCGCAAGGGGCCCAACGCACTGGCACTCGCCGCACGAAACGGTGAAGGGCGAAACGACTTTGTCCCCGACCCGCAGTGTGGAGTACAGCCCTGGCCTCCCGACGGCATCGGGATGGAAGCTAGATCCCAGAGCGACGACTACGCCTATTAGCTCATGTCCGCATGTTAGGCTGGGTGTGCAATCAGCACATCAGGCGTACGGGTGGATTGTAGCACATACTCGGCATCGACGTCCTCGTGCCCGCGGTAGATGTGGAGGTCGCTGCCGCAAAGACCGGCAAGCTGCGGAGAGACAAATGAGTGAAGCAGCGGCGGCGAAAACGTGCACGAACATGAATCTTGACAATCGCATCGTCCGGATCAGCGATCCTGTGTGGAACGGGTCAATGCAGGCGACTGCTGACGAGCCCAAGTCGCCCACCGAGGTACGGGCACCGTCTCGACGCGGATGTCGTACGCGGGCGGGTGCCAGCGCACGGCCTTCTGCCTCTCCGGAAGCACGGCGGCCTGCTCCATTCTGCGAGCTGCAGGTAAAAACGAGCGCAACAACCGCGCCCGCCGTGCGCAGTCTTTTCCTCCCCGGCGTTTTCCGCTCTCACCCCGGCCCGGGAGATCATGCACGCGGGCAGGTAGAATAGATACGCGCGAAACGAGGTCCAAGCGCAAGAGTACAAGGTGTCATATGGTGCGACGCCAGCTACATACACCGTCTACATGATCACGCAGTTCGAGTCGTCCTCCACTTTCTGCGTCGCGATACCCATCTCCGCGAACGTTTGCGGACCCTTTGGCGGCGGCCGTGACAGAGGCGCGGGAGCGGCCTGCTGAGGCGGGGGCTGTGATTGTGGTCCTGGCCCTCCGCCCGGGCGGCGCAAGGGAGGCGTCCCCGCCGGACGTGGGGACGACGCAGGACCAACGCTGCCGGAGGGATGGCGACGACCGTCTTGCATAGGCGGCCCGCCTGGTCGCGGTCCACTCTGTTGCGGGCGGGGGTTCATCCCTGGTCCAGGTGACGCCATCGCTCCGTGCGGCCCCGTTGGCTGTCTCCGTTCGTTCAATTGCGGCAGGGGCGCGTTTTGACCCATGTTTGGTGGCGAGTTCGTCGTCGGCGTGCTCCTGTATGCCGACGGTCCCGAAGCCCCGTAAGCGGAGGCGCCCGCTCCTGCAGCAGCCTCGAGCATCGCACCGGGACCTATCGAGCCCTTGCGGATGTTGCTCACGATCTGCGAGCGCTGAGCGGCAGGCATGGCTGCCACCGGTCCAACAGCGGGACCACCGACGGCGTCGGAGCGTTGCTTCGCCTGCGTTCTCTTGCGAACCAGCTTGGAGTCGGTCAAGTTTTCGTGCTGCTCCCGGGAAAGCGCCTGCGGGGTCGGCTGAGACAGAGCCTTCAGTCTGTCCGAAGCGTCTGCATTGCCGTGCTCGGCCGCCTGAGCACAGAAGCGTCAATGGGTGACACATGCGGAACGCACAAGTCATGATCACGTACTCTGATGTACCACTTGCGCGCGTTTTCGATGTCCACCGGTCCTCCGACGCCGACTTCGGAGTAGTAACCGAGCGCGAATTCAGCGCTGGGCAGGCCTTTGCGAGCGGCCTTCTCGGCAAATGTCCACGCCAGCCCTTCGTCCTTGTCGAACGAGCCCTCCGCGCCACACAGGAACCACTTGCTGAGCGCCATGTCGGCCTCGATCTCTCCTTGTTGGCTGGCGAGCGAGTAGTACTGCACGCTCAAAAGAGCATCGAAGGGGAAGGGCGCGCTAGCGAACTCGTACGCATGGCCGAGCTTGTACTGAGCAGGAGCGAAGTTGAGGTAGGCGGCGCGCTCGAGATGGCGCCGTGCGTCGTCCGGAGGAGTGACGCCAGGAGGGAGGAAGGGTTGGAATAAGTGCGGAGGGATGGAGACGTGGGAGAATTCGTCAAGGAGCAGTAGACCGTAGACGTACGCGGGTTGGGGAACATCGATGGTGGCCAATGTCGCAGCGCGATTGAGGAGCGGAATCGCGGTCTGCGGGTCTGGGTGAAAGCCAAGCTGGCCCATGAGATGGGCCATTCCCAGCCGCTGAAAGAGAGTCAGGCATGAAGGTGAGGACGGGGACGAGGACACGGACGTAAAAGCAACTTTCGACACCGTGCTTCATCCCGCGCTCGAAACAGTCCTTTGCATGTTGAAGATCGCCGAAGTTCTCGTATTCACGTCCGAGCTTGAACCAAGCGGCGTGGTGGCCAGCCTTGGCAGCACGTTCGAAGTCGCGGAAGGCGTTGCGAGGGTCGTGAGGGATGAATTGAGGATAGAGGCCGGTGGAAGCGCAGAGGGCGCGCATGTACAAGGCCTCGGCCAAGTACGGGGGCATCGGGCCTTGGGACGGGGACTGGGAGATCTGGAGGATGACGGGAACGGCAACGTTGACGAGCTTCTGAACCTCGGGGTCGTCGATCTGGGCGGGCCCGACGGCAGGCCCGTCGGTCGAGGTGGGGTTTGCGTTCTGGTTGCGGAGCTGCTGGGCGCGATCGACGAGAGAGAAGACGTCGCGGCACCAGATCACCTTGCGGGCGGGATCGCCGCCAGGCTGCTGGATGGCAGACTGCTGGACGGAGAGGATGGCGACGGTCGGGAGAGGGGCGGTGAGAGACGGGGGACCATCACGGGTGGCAGCGGGGATGGAGAGAGGGGAGGATTGGCGGGGAGCGAGAGTCATGTTCGCGAAGGAACCGGAGAGGGAGTGCTGGTGATGGGGGCCTTGAAGGGCGGGGGACGCGAAAGGAGGGGGAAGGAGGGCGAGGCGGTGGACTGCGAAGGGCCGGCGGGGTACTGGGCGGGCTGGGGGGTGGGAGGGGACCAGGGGGACCAGTCGGAGCCCTGGGGAGGAGGGAGGGGCTGGGGCCGCGGGACATGGGCGGACGGTGGGCGGGCGGGTAGGCGGGTGGGTTCTGGTCGGGGGAGTAGGACACGTTGAAGACCGGGCGGGGGAACGGGTTATAAGAGGACTGGTTTGGCGCGTGGACTGCGGGCATGGCCGCCTGCTCGTGGAGGGCTTGGGAGATCTGAATCACCGACCGATGCAGCTACGGGCGGGCGGAGCAGGCGGGGAGAGCGTACGCACGTTGTTTGGGAGGTCTGGCTGCAGCTTCTGCGGCCGGGGCGCGACGAGCGGGTCTTCGTAGTGCGGCGGCGAGGCCTCGCCCGGTTTGAAGTCAGCTGGCAGCGGAGGGACGGGCGGGGCGGTGGGCGGCGGCGGATGGTCGTAGTCAAAGGGGCGGGGCGGGACCGGCGGGGCAGACATGGCAGCGAAGGGCTCGACGGGGAGGGCGGTGTGGGCGATGGAGGGGGCGACGGTGAGGGGGGCGATGGCGGAGCTCAGGGTCGAGGTTGGAGGGCGCACCGCGACAATCGATCGAGACCAGCTCCGCGGTACGTGCGGTCCGGGCTGTGCCGACCAATGCCGCGCCCCCGGCGCCCGCCCCTTTGCATTGTCGGAAAATCCAAATCGGCCTTGCGAGGCGCTGGGTTGACTTGCGATGGCATCACAAGCTCAACGGCGCCCTGCGAGGGATTACAAGGCACCTGAAGTTACTGCAAGGACCTACCACATGTGAAACCACATTGCAAGGCCTTCACACTGGGAATATCAAAGTTTCTGCTTGTCCGATATGTATGAGTAAACCTTACGAGAAATGTAGTGTTTTTGGTAGTGTTCTGACACTGTGGGCAGATGCCCTATTTCCCACAGGGTGATAGCTATGTTGTAGTTGTGTTATAGGTTTCCTCTTGAATGGACACATGACTGTTGCATGATGCAACAGCTAGACTTTTGTCTGCCTTGCCCATTGCTGCCTGTCAGGACGGAGGTCGGGTAGACGCCAGGTCGTGGCGGCACACGTGGCACGACCCACATGGACACCTCCATTGCGTTGTAGTGGCACGCTATGGTTACACGTTTCATGCTACAGTATATATTACAGCTGGTGTCGCCTGAGGACAGGAGCTCAACTCTACTTTGTACCCCACACTACCTTGATTATTCACTTGGTTCAGTGTCTCGTACAGCCCGAGCTCACCAACACCCTTACACATTTTGACACTCCTCCGCGAAGCCAACACTTCGCGCAGGTGAAGACATCAAGCTAGCAAGCGATACAAGATGCCAAGCAAATACAAAAAGAAGCAGAAGGCCGCGATGCGCCGCATTGAAGAACGCGACACACCGCCGCCTCCTCCCATCCCGCCGTCCGCGCACTCGGACGCCGAAGACGACGCCAGGGCGTGCAAAGACGGCGCTCCAGGCGATACAAGCAAGGATCCAACGGAGAGCCCTTTAACATCACTCACCGAGAGTGGATCCAACCGCGCGACTGCCGGATCGGGAAGCGCCCCGACAGGGCCCCTGTCGGGCACCCGGACAGTCATGGCAGAACTCGCCGATGCATTCCAGTCCACCTCGCTACGTGTCCAGGACCTTGAAGAACAAGCTCTCACAGCAATCCACGCGCACGAACAAAGCGCAGTGAACCTGAAGTCCATCTGTGATCAACTCAGTATGGCAAGGGAACAGCTCACCTTCAACGTAGAAGGCGCAATCGCATCTACCCCGAAGCATGAGCAATTGCTCCGGGAGCTTGCCACCCCAAGCCCGGTCAATCTCGACCGCATGAACGTGACAGCTGAAAGCGTAGTCATGTATCAAAGCAACCACGCCACGGAAGCTGAGGAACCGACAGCTGCCACAACAGTGCTGCCGGTCATGGGACTGAGGGACACGGACAGCGATGATAAAGAAATCGCCAAGACGATCAAACTTGACCGGAGCCGTAGAAACCTGTTCCGACCGCGCGGCGAGTTAGAAATGGACGAGAAATATGAAGAACGCACCGAGCACCAGAAACGATGGGTCGCGTGCGAGGTCCTCGCAGTACGGTCGGCTGAGTGGGTCGCAACTGCGATCCCAGACGCCACATACGCGCCACCGCACTACGGAAACGTAGCAACTGGTGGTGGCGCACCGGATCCTGGATCAGACCCGTCGACGATGAATTCGTCATACAACACGCCAACGGCAGGCTCAAACAAGACCATACCACGATCACGTCGTACCTCGGCAACCAACACAAACGAATTCCCAACTGAGAGCTTGTACCAGGCTCTATTGCACCACCCCAGGCCCAACTATGGGACTGTCGTAGCGCAAGATCAGGGCACGCAGCCAATAGTAATACAACCTGTGAAGCAATCAGTCACCTATGGCGGCCCCAATACGCAATATGCGAACGTACCACCTATCATGACACCCACGGTGGAGCAAACCTACAGGAACGTACCGGTAGCACACGCGTCCGGCACGTGCCGTAGCGCGCCCCCGCCACGAGCAGCAAACACACTCAGGCCACCAACGATGTACCACTCAGCAGTGAGGGACACGCGCGGAACAAACACAGTGCCAGCACGACAGCCGCCGGCAAGTATTCGAAGTGAGAGCGCCCCATACGCACGGGATGCGCTATACTACGAGGACGACGAAGATGATCCGTTCAGTTACCCGGGAGACGAGAAAGATGCGAACACCCGATACCTCACCGAGCAGATCCTGTATATTCAGGATCTAGTTGGCGAAGCGTTGAGGGTGCCACCACCTGATGCACCGGGGATGAAGAACTGGAAAGGCATTTCAGTGACAGTCAAATACGGAGGACAAGATGATGCGAAGCTGTTCGTACGTTTCGTGAAAGATCTGCTCCGTGTCTTGTTCCTGAACAGAACGCTCGACGAAAGCGCGGCCGAGTACCATGTACCGCTACTTGGTCAATACCTTGAGGAGGATGCACGCGACTGGTTCGACCGGACGATCAATGACATCCGGGCGACTAACTACGGCTGTACGCTGGAACAAGCACTGTGTCTGATGTTCAAGAGATTTGTACACCGATCACCAGCCATCCAGGCCGTAGCTGAGTTCGACCGACTGCGTTACGACCGAAGGAGGGGAGTGGAAGCAATGTACGAAGAAATGATGCAACTCTCCCACGAGATGCCGTGCCTTCCGGACAAATACACGTTCAGTCACAAATTGATGAACAAGCTGCCAAGGGAGATGTCTGACGCGCTCGTGCGTCACTACAACGTTCACGTCGGGGTATCAAGCCTGGCCGAGATCAAGCGCGCCGCCGTGCAGGAAGAAAACAAGATGATCGCGATTTCGGAGCACCAGCGCGAGCGCTGGCCACGCGAGAACGCGCGCGACGACGCCAGGGCTCGGGGACACACCACCCCCCAATACGGACGATACCAGGGTTACAAGGAGGCCCGTCAGGAACATAGACAACGTTCCCTGAGACGCGACGCGCCGCGCGAGCATTGAGCACAACCGCGGCACAAACCCTACCACCGCGATGATGCACCCGAGAAATCACGGGACAAGCCCTGGGAAGGGGACCGCATCAGGCCAGGTGGATACCGGCGGGAGGACCAACCCTGTGAACAGTGCGGGAACAGTGCGAAGCCAGAATTCACACGTGACCGCAGCCGTGAACAGCACAAGCCCGACTACGGCGTCAACCGTAACCGCGACGAGCAGAAGCCTGCATATGGCACGAAGCTAGATGGTGCCCGTTCCGGGAACTGCCATACGTGTGGAAAACCGGGGCACTGGAGCAAGGACTGCCCCCAGAAGTCGCGCCCTAGATTGCAGGCAGCGCGCGTGGGCGACGAGGACCAGGCTGATGAGGATCCGCAGGATCGCAACAACCAGGGAGCCAGATCGTGTAGCCCGTCCCCAGCTGTGCATGGATACCAAGATGACTATGATGCGCAGGACACTGATAACGAGTCGAACCATAGCTCGTTCGTACGCGTGCCGAGCGAGGGGTCAGGAAGCGATGACGCCCCCTGGTCCCCCGAGGACGAATACGCCGAGGCGGAACAATGGGGAGGAAGTCAGTATGACAGTGAGCGTAGCGACGACTCGTCACCGCGGTTCGCTGGCATGCGACTATACTCCCTGAGGGATACGGCAGAGGGCCCCAAAGAAGAACACGAGACTCCTCGACCTGAGGAAGACGCACCTCGCGTGTTCGGCCGCGTCGACTATGCGGACGATGTAATATGGCACACATCGGCTGGAATAGTGGCACAGCGCCGCCGCATAGACGGAACCAACATGCCGCCCACGTTCACGGAGGCGCGGGCTGCGAACACGGCTACACCTGGCGAGAGTGAGGACGAGGCCATGTCAGAAGATAGTGAAGGACCACCACCACTCGAAGACCTGCCCACGAGAGACAATGTCGGGATGACTGTCATATCGGAGCCATCACCTATGCCACTGCAAGTCAATTTCCAACTGCCAGATGGAGCGTACGCACCAGAACATTACAGCGCGTGATGGCAACAAGTGGTAGATGAGGGCGGTGACACCCGGGTGGCATTCGACGAGATCCGGCATGCGTACGAGGAGGTAGCCATGATCGCCGCCCAAGAACAGCGAGACCGGTTGCGAATGCAAGCTCGGCTCGTAGAGGCAGAAGCTAGGGCAGGACAAGCCGAATACCTGCTGCACCATGCACAAGGATCAGCGACGTACGGGTACTCAATGCTGGAAGAGACACTCGCCCGGGAACGCGCATGGATCAGTGGCCAACAGGCAGACAGCACTGTAGAACACGTCCGACAGTCCCGACGAATGCTCTTGAACAACTTGAGAGTACGGTACTACCCCCTGCGAGCGAACGACATGAGCGACGATGAGTACGAAGCGGCGGAGATCAACTTCCCTGCACGAGTACATGTCGCTGTTGAGGAACTCATGCAAGAACTGAGTGCCGATATGTTGCCACCGGAACGCCTGGGAGAAGACATTTGTGCGCCCAGCAACGAAGAACAAACAGAGGGAGGTGGAACGGGATCGCAGGACGTCACTATGCACGCCGCTCGGATCGAGGATGGAGGCCAACAGGACCTGGTCACCAGGGCGCGCACAGGACATCGCCCATCGCTTCCCCGGCTGTCAACAACGTGTCTGACTGCGTACGTAAGAATCGGTGCGCTTGATGCACTGGCGCATGTGCCGACGCGCGCGGACGATTGACTAGAAGACGGCGAGCTACCAGGAAAGACGGCGCGCGTCGACCTGCGTAGCAACAAGATCGTGCCGATGCCGAAATATCCGACTGAAGCCGATCTCGAGAAAATACGTGCAATATTTCTGAAAGAATACGACAACCTTATGCAACCAGTCCCGCCCGAACTGCCTCCGTTTCGTGAAGTGAACCACACCATTCCTTTAATAAACCCTGATATGCAATACAAGTACCATATGCCTCGATGCCCCGAAGCGCTTCGCCCGTTACTTACTGAGAAAACCACAAGATATATCAACGCCGGCTAGTGGGTACCGGGAAGAGCCTCACAAGCCGCGCCTATTCTCGCTTTATTCAAGAAAGACAAATCTCTCCGTACCGTTGTCGACCTTCGGCAGCGTAATGATAATACAGTCAAGGATGTCACGCCCTTCCCTGATCAGGATCAAATCCGGGATGACGTAGCACGAGCGTGGTATCGCACCAAGCTCGACATGTCAGATGCCTACGAACAGATCCGGATCGTGGAGGATGACGTGGATAAGACTGCCTTCGCTTCAATTCACGGGACGTTTTACAGCAGAGTCATGCAACAGGGCGACTGCAATGCACCATCTACATTCCAGTCACTAATGACTGCTGTATTTCGCGAACGTATTTCGATCTGCATACACGTGTACCTTGACAACATCTTCATATATACCAACACCATTGAAGAACACGTCGAAACGCTCCACTGGGTATTCAAGCAACTACGCAGGGAGCGACTGTTCCTTAGTCGGAAGAAGGTTGCTATACTCGCCATAACCATGGATTGCTTAGGGCATCAAATAGACAAGCATGGCCTGCACGCCGACCTAGACAAGATGGTCCGTGTGCGGACTTGGCCAACGCCGAAGAACTACAACGAGGTTCAACAGTTCCTTGGCTTAGTGCAGTACCTCGCACACTTCATGCCAGATGTGTCGTCATGGGCTGGCACGCTGTCCGCGATCACGCGTAATGGTCAGAAGTTTGAGTGGCGACCAGTGCATCAAGTAAGCTTCGAAAACATCAAGCACCTGGCCTGTAAGGTCCCTATATTACGCCCAATAGACCCAGGTAACCCGAACCTGATCTGGGTGATCACCAACACCTCCACGACCGGCGTGGGTGCCGTGTATGGCCAAGGACCAGAATGGCAGTCATGTCGCCCCGCGGGCTTTATGTCCAAAAAGTTCACTGTGGCGCAACATTCGTACTTCACATTCGAAACAGAAGCACTGGCGGTTGTCGAGGCACTTATGCACTGGCATGACAAATTGATCGGCCAAAAATTCAAGATCATAACCGATCACAGAGCACTTCTGTTCCTCAACTCTGCATCGTCACTACCACCTCAGATCGCACGATGGGCGGAATTCCTGTCCAGATTTGATTTCGAAGTTGTGCACGTACCTGGCGAAACGAACCGTGTGGCGGACGCACTGTCCCGCATGTTCGCAAGCGAAGGGGACAATACCGACCGACCGGCGTACGACTTCGTTGCTGCAGACCTCCGCCTGGACCCCACGGGCGAGACATTGCCCGAAGCACGAATGCTAGAAATCCGTGCGGGACGAGTATTGGACATGAAGGAGCCCCGCATATCGCAAGCGCAGGATATGGAAGCCGCAGCAGATGTGAATGTGCCGGCACCTGCAGCACGTACGACAGACGACCCGACAGCTATCGCGTCCTGGGCGGACCAAGATGCCCAAGTCGCTCTACTGCAGGGACAATTCGATGTTGTGAACAGCATCAAGACAGGGTACGCGAAGGACAAGTTCGCGCAGAAGATATTGGACGCACCAACAGACCACAAGAGATTCTGTGTCAAGCACGGCGTGATCTATCACATTTTGAAGTCCGGGGAACAAGTCACATTGGTCCCAGACGTCAAGATCGGTGGGCGTCGCCTGACAGAACGCATCCTCGACGTGGTACACCAGCAAATCAGACACCTTGGACTCCGTCGAACAAGCGACTACGTCCGGCGTCTGTACTGGTGGCCGACTGTGGGCCGCGAAATAGCGAAGTTCTGCAGTAGCTGCCCTACCTGCCAAATGACGAAGTCCTCGACACAACGTCCTGCCGGACTCCTCCACAGTCTGCCTGTGCCGAACCGGCCATGGCAGAGCATAGCAATGGACTTCGCAGGCCCGTTCCCATCTAGTGACAATTTCGACTACCTCTGGGTAGTTATCGACCGGTTTACTTCGTTGCTGCACCTGGTCCCACTGAAGACTACCACTCGAGCCAGTGAACTGGCTGGACTATTCCTGAAGGAGATCGTGCGCCTGCATGGTCTACCGGAGTCAATTCTGTCCGATAGAGATCCCAAGTTTATCTCGAAATTCTGGCAAGAACTGCATCGGTTAATGGGCAGCAAGCTCCTAATGTCAACGGCGTATCATCCCCAAACCGATGGCGCCTCCGAGCGTGCTGTCCAGACAACGTCGCAGATCCTACGAACACTTGTCCGGCCCGATCAACGAGACTGGGTGGAAAAACTGCCATTCGTTGAGTTTGCAATCAACTCTAGCCGCAACACATCGTCGAGATTCGCGCCGTTTGAGCTCACGTACGGACACCTACCACGCATGATTCGGGAAGCGAACCCAGACCCTACCATGCCAGGCGTACGGGCATTTGCGGACAAAGCGATCGAGATGCTACGTGAAGCGCATGACGCGATCATAGCGAGCCGTGTGGCCCACACCACACATGCGAACCGAACACGAAGGGAGGAATACCCAGGAAACGATACTGCTGTATTTGCCGTAGGCAAACTAGCGTACATATCGACGGAGAACTTGCGCCTCCCCAAGCAGCGCGCGCACAAGCTGTTACCCAAGTTTGTTGGGCCGTTTGAGATCATTGAGGCACACCCGGAAAAGTCAACCTACACCCTACGACTGCCCCCAGACCTACAACGGCGACGGATCCAGGCGAAGTTCCACGTGTGACGCGGGAGCGGGCCGCGAACACCAATCGGAGGAGAGGGAGGGGTGGATGGGTGTAGATTGAGGTTGGATGACCTCGATGTAGTGGTGCAGAGGCGTCGCCGGCACTAGGCGCAAAGCAGACGCAAGCTAGAGTCACACGAGGGATGTCTAGCCCACAAAGACCAAGTTAACATAGCTCTACAGACATACAGGCAATCGAGATACTCACCTAGCCCACAAAGACCAAGAGGTCGAGATGAGGGCTAGGACATGAAGTGCAAGTGCTAAGAGAGTTCGCGATACGGGCGCTTAAGCGCGGGAACAACCTTCCAATATAGTAAAAGGCAGGGAAAAGGCGAGGAAAAGGCGAAAAATAATACATAGGGTGAGTCCAGAGTCCGTTCCACGACAACGTGTCCCAGCTGCGACCCCACGAACCGAATGACGAGTCCATGTTCCCTCGCCGCGATGCACGGATATTCTACGATTTTGGGGAAGATCCCGACAACGAGTACTTTGTCGATGACGTGCTGGCACACAAATGGCGCGGCACGTCAGTATACTTTCTCGTGCAATGGACGAGCGGGGAGCCTACCTGGCTACCCTACAGTGAAGTAAAGGACCTCGAGGCACTCAGCCACTACTACGAGTTACTGGGGATCAAGCATTGGCGATCTCTACCCCGGGGCGCCCGAGCTGGTCAGGTGATCGTGCCGGATCACGCTACAGCAGCCGCGTCATGGGGTGATATGCTTGAGGTTCAGGTTCAAGCAGAGGCAGACCCTCCGGTGCATGTAGCGGGTACAACAAATTCGGTAGATCACGAAACAGCGGAACTTGGCCGCGGGCATCGACGCAAGCGGCCGAGCCGCAGAATGCGTGAGGCGCGGGAACATGCCCCCTGAGCAGACCCCACGATCAGGAGCACACCAAGACCCAAGCAGGGATGACGCCGCGACACATAAGGCGGTGTCCTTCGTCTCAACCACGCTCGCCCACCACCCCACCGTGCCCCGTCCTCTTCATTTTGCTACCCGACGCGAGCCCCATTGCTCTCTTGTTCCTTATTCAACAACCTTATTCTGCACTACACTGCGCCCAACTGCCCGCAACATGCCCGAACGTATGCATGCCCCGATGATGACTACGGGGTTCTGCCCTGCACCTGACACAGCTACCGCCCCCACACCTGCAGCGCTTCTAAACACGCTCGCCGGGCCTCAGGTAGACAACATAGGCGGTAACGCCACTACTCGGGACAACGCAATGATGGGCTGCGACACGGGGGACGTCCTCACGCACGGGACGCCAGAGGCCCTCCAGGGAGCCGCACTTGAACGCCTGTTCATTAAGTGCCTTCCGGCGCAAGTCTATCCCTGGATCTATGCACCGAGGACGGACACCCTGCTCCACGAGGACGGGTGTGATGGTTGCGATTGGTACGAAGGCCATCTCAAGTGTGCACGATTCTACAACATCCCCTCCTTCGTACAAGCAGAGGTCAAACGGCGCTCCATGTGCTGCACCAAATCCTATCAAGATGGCCGTGCAGATGGCATGGCCGAGCTCCACACGTATGTGACGCCCCCACTCTGCGACGTTGAAGAGTCCTTGCGAGCCAAGATCCACCGCCTGGAGGCGTCGGAGCGTGATCTACGCTCCCTGCTTGCCAAGCTGAAGCCGGTACTGCCAGGCCATGCGGTGGGACTGCTCGAGGAGTACGATACCGACCCAGGTGTCAAGATTGGCGTCGACGCGGCCCTCGCAGCGCGGGATCCGACCGCGGAGCTTGCGGACCTCTACTACGACATTCTCAACGAACACCGCACCAACAAGCGAGGCGCAGCGTCGCGCGATCTGGCAGCACAGTGCAGCGTGATCAAGGACATCCTCAACGCAAACGCGCCGCGGTCTGACTCTAGAATGGAGCCCCGTACGGGAGACCTCCTGCCGCCACCGCATTCGGAACCACAGGAGATGGTGTCCAAGGCGCCGGACGTGCCATCTGGTCCACGACCGCTCCCCGAGGAAGATGTCGAGATGGCCGAAGCGCACCACGACCGCGCTGTGTCTCAACCGGCGCGGCCCACTCGGAAGCAACCATCAAAGCTGAGCAAACAGGAGCAGGTGCTCGATGAAATTATCGATCACTACGACGCAGCGCACGAAGAACCCCAACACGGTCGCACCCCGGTGCCGCGCATGCAAGCCACTCCCCTGCAGACCCACGCACCCCCGCCGCGCAGCCGCACGCCCCCGCCGCGCAGCCGCACGCCCCCACCGCGCGCTCGTACGCCACCTGTGGTTACCACTTTGTTAACAATATTCCCCAGGTTCGTGGGGAAGAGGTTGTACAAAACGCGGTCAGCTTGTAACCTTTACAATGCTGGCCAGGTTGTAACGTTGCCCAAACCCCCGTGGAATGTTGCAACGCACCCCCAGGCTTGTTAAAAGCCCCGTACGTTACAACACACCCCCGCCATTGTTAAAAGCCCCGTGGGACGTTACAACGTATGCCCAGGCTTGTTAAAAGCCCCGCCAGATGTTACAACGTGTGCCCAGGCTTGTTAAAAACCCCGTAAGCTATTAATAGCACCATTTACGTAGTGCTGCGCAGCATTCAGGTGGATATATTGGGCTGGAATGAGTGGTCAATAGGTGGCTATGGATGGCTGTATATAGAGAAATGCATTTGGGTGGTTACGGGCTGCCCAAATAGGGGGCAGTAGCTGGTATTTGCCCATAAATGGCCAGCCTGGGGTGCAGCACTGGATGGGAAAACTATCAGGCACTAGTTATAAATCAACAGGGGTATTAAACAGCTTTCCAACGAACCTAAGATCATGTTGATCAGAGCAGTATTGATGGAGATATGGGTGTACCCCCATTTTGGCCGATGGGGGCCACGGCTAGAATCAGAAATTGTGGATGGAATATCCTGGTTCTTGTTGCATGTCGTGTGGATTTCCTTCTACTGAGTGGGACTGAAGTCCGATCGGAGAAACACCTACTTGTTACAGAATAGATTGCCAATTACGCTTCAGCCACAGCAATTTTGATGCCTCAATAGCTACCCCCCATACCCTCCGATAAGCATTCGATTTTTTGCATTCTCTTTTGCTAGCATATGGAAAAGGGCTCCAGGTGTTATTTTGATTTGAAGATCCCTCAGACTGTCCCTGCGCAGCAGTGTACATTCACACTCTACCACTTCACCCTTCCATACCCACTTCAAATATCATCATGGTGTTTGGTGTTGCGAACCCGTGCTTGTGGTGGGATTTGAATAATGTATAGTATGTTCTTATCGGCCATCATTTCAATGTGTAACACGGTTATCTCTCCCAGGAATGTTGTCCTGATTCAATTACATCCAATGTACAGATAACAATCTGAGAACTCGATCTGAACCCGCGTACAACACACCTACAATATGCAACAAGAATCATGTCAAACGGCCAAGAATTGGGTGAGATGCTTCATCAGAGGCTAGAAAGCACCATTGAGCTGCAATGTGTGGCCAATAACCTGTTCACATACCCCTCACACATCTATGCCCACCATGATATGCCTGTCCCCACATCTGGCAGATGACCTGAATCACATCCAATATCATACTGAAACATGATTCATGTGTGATTGCTTTGTTTAAAAGGCTGTGTGTGCTGTATTGCATGTATGTGGAGAGTCAGTGGTATAGCTGCAGGGCACAAATTAGCCCCAGTTCAGTTACAGACAGTGCAACTTCCTGAGTTCTCCACCGATTTTCATGATTCTTGCTGCGTTGGATAGGTGCACATTGGCCTTTTCCAGATCTGTCTAGTGCATGATTATCGAAACATGATTTGCGAGCAGATTGGGGTAGTATGTTCCAGAGAGATAAGAATTGATAAGGGCCAAACAAGCACTGATAACACTTTTGAGTGCAACATCCTGGAGATGGGGTGAACGCTAAAATAGTGCAAAAAGAACCAGATGAATATATGAAGCGGGTATGGAAGGGTGAAGTGGTAGAGTGTGAATGTACACTGCTGCGCAGGGACAGTCTGAGGGATCTTCAAATCAAAATAACACCTGGAGCCCTTTTCCATATGCTAGCAAAAGAGAATGCAAAAAATCGAATGCTTATCGGAGGGTATGGGGGGTAGCTATTGAGGCATCAAAAGTGCTGTGGCTGAAGCGTAATTGGCAATCTATTCTGTAACAAGTAGGTGTTTCTCCGATCGGACTTCAGTCCCACTCAGTAGAAGGAAATCCACACGACATGCAACAAGAACCAGGATATTCCATCCACAATTTCTGATTCTAGCCGTGGCCCCCATCGGCCAAAATGGGGGTACACCCATATCTCCATCAATACTGCTCTGATCAACATGATCTTAGGTTCGTTGGAAAGCTGTTTAATACCCCTGTTGATTTATAACTAGTGCCTGATAGTTTTCCCATCCAGTGCTGCACCCCAGGCTGGCCATTTATGGGCAAATACCAGCTACTGCCCCCTATTTGGGCAGCCCGTAACCACCCAAATGCATTTCTCTATATACAGCCATCCATAGCCACCTATTGACCACTCATTCCAGCCCAATATATCCACCTGAATGCTGCGCAGCACTACGTAAATGGTGCTATTAATAGCTTACGGGGTTTTTAACAAGCCTGGGCACACGTTGTAACATCTGGCGGGGCTTTTAACAAGCCTGGGCATACGTTGTAACGTCCCACGGGGCTTTTAACAATGGCGGGGGTGTGTTGTAATGTACGGGGCTTTTAACAAGCCTGGGGGTGCGTTGCAACATTCCACGGGGGTTTGGGCAACGTTACAACCTGGCCAGCATTGTAAAGGTTACAAGCTGACCGCGTTTTGTACAACCTCTTCCCCACGAACCTGGGGAATATTGTTAACAAAGTGGTAACCACAGGTGCGTACGCCGCCCACGCCGCGCGGCCGCACACCTGCAGCTCGCCCGCGTACACCGCCTCCGCGTCCACGGCATCGTCGCCCTCGCTTGCGGGGACGACCACCACGTGGAGAGACCTACATTGCCTCAGGACATCGCAACGGCAATGACGGCTCCAATGGAGGCCCAAGCACCGCACAAGATGCGTCGCCAGTGGAACACGGAAGGCAGGATGAGCGTGTGTCGCCCACGTGTCGTCCGCGCTCCTACGACCGCAACAGTCGACCTCAGGAGTTCAGACTGAGGACGCTGTCGAGGGGGGGAGGGGGCCCGCCACCGCCAAACGCGGCAGCAAGCACGGGCACCACCCAGAACATCCCTGCCAAACGTAGGATCGAAGACTCCATCCACGCAGACGTGAAGCGCCCCAAGACCAACAATGCCCAGCCGCAAATGACCCCAGTCAACGTCCCAACACTCAGCGATGGACTGAAGGTGTGGATGGACTACTGGGAGACAAAACCATCGCAACCCCGCGGTGTACGTCACATCGCTAAAGGCAACGTGAAGATCAACCCATTCACGATGTCCGGACACATCTGGACGCAGATTATGTCACGCAAGTACATGCTCACTCACCATGGAACACGGACACCGTTCCTCGAGTCACTGGCGCAAGTCCTAAGCGACGAAAGACGTGCGATCAAGAAGCAGCTCCACAAAGGTACAGTACAAGAGTACCCGAAGATCTGCGAGTGGCCGAATAATGAGCTGGCCGACTTCGATACTGTCGTACGCGTGTGTCAAGACTCGCGGCTGACAAAAGCCGATCTCACCAGCGTACTGTGCATCTAGGCCCGCGCATTCCTCCAGGAGGACGACTCGGACGAGGACGAGGATGAGCCTGCTCGCGCGGCGCCACATAGTAGCAGTAAGGCTCAGTCGGCCGCCGCGATGGAGGAGAACCACCCCATGGACGCTGCCAACTCATTGGCTCGCGACGCAGTACCCTTCGCGTACGGAGTATCCCCTGCCACGCACGATAGCTCCGTCACGAGAGGCGAACGTTCCGCGGCCTCAGCGTCAGGAGATGCTAGGAACGGACAAGAACGGCGCGGCACACGCTCTCCCAACATCACTCGAGATGAGGAGATGGCCAATGTTATGTCGAAGTCCGAGTTCCGTCGGGAACGAGGCCTAGACGCCGGGTGGTTATGTCCGTGAGAAGTCTCTTGATGCCAATGCGAGTGAGCACAGTGCACTATCGAGTGGACCGGCGAGCGAGCGAGGTAGAAGGCAAGCAAGAGAGTCAATTGGCACTAGGCCAGAGAGGACGTAGCTATACAGGAGGTCGAAAGATGGGGAGTGCTATGCGGCGTCGTCCCTCTTATAAGTACAAGGGCCTTGAGGCCACGGTGCGTGAGGGGTGAGGTAACCGTGCATGTACAACAAGTCCATACGAGTCAGTACGAGTCATGGTAACGGCATGTTAAGGGGTGTGGTACAGCGAGGTTGCCATGAGGTGTGTGCATGTCCGAGGCGAGGCTGCGCAGCAGCATGAGGCGGGGGATAGGGGTGGTGTTACAGTAGCCCCTGAGGGCGTGAGGCATAGTCCGTGACAGAGATGACGAGGGGGAAAGGGAAAAGGGTAGGCGTTCGTACGGTGTCCATAACATCAGCTCCCCCTCTCATGAGGGTTGTCCCAACCCTTAGTTACCGAAGATGTCGTCGGCGTTGAGGTCGGGGTCTTCACGAGGACGATACCCGATCTGGCAAAGTCGAACGATCAGGTTGACGATCACTTCGTGGACCGTCCCTTCGAGCGACATTTCGGGTTCGCCATGTAGGGGGATACCCGTACGTCGGTACTGGCTGTAGTAGGTGAGGAATCGTCGCCAGTGTCCCACGTTGATTACATGGTCGTCGACGACTTCTTCGCAGTGGGCGTTGCACCATTGCGCCACGATGTTGAGGACATGGAGCTCGAGGCTGAGGCGAATGCCTGGAGCCACGTAGGGGAGGGCGGCGGCGATCCTCAACTCGATGTTCTCGGGCGAGTACTGTACTGGCCAATCGAGGATGTACACCCCGATGAAGTGGTTGGTGGAGAGGTAGCCGCGGAGGGCGTAGCGGCTGGTAGCTCCCTCGAGGCGAAACGGTTGGGCCACGGGGTTGTAGGCGTGCAGGAGCTCCATGCGCGGGGTGTTGCTCTCATCCTCGTGGTCACTGGAGGAGGCTTCTCCCCCTTCCGAATCCGCGTCGTTACCCATGTCGTCGTCGTCGTCGTACGGGGGTGGGGCCTGGACCGGGACGACGAGTTCGTAGTGTACTTCATTGTCTGCGTAGTGGTGGATTGTTTGTGCGTCCGGGGATGGTGTAGATGGCGTCGGGGTGGGAGGACGAAAAGGTGGGGTGTGGGACCCACGAGGTCCGAGGGCGGCGATCATGTCAGAGAGGGTGAGACCTGGAGTGGGGGTAGTGGGTTCCTCGTCATTGTCTTCTTCTTCTACTGGCGACCCCCATTCAACGGCTGAACTCTCCATGCCCATCCATCCTCCAGTGACGGCGCATTCCTGGTATTCCTCCTCTTCCCACGCGGCCCTGTTGCGTTCGGCTTCGTTGGGGGGGGGGGTGACGCTTGCCCGTACCGTGTGTGGTCCGTGTGTTGCTTGCGACGGGGGAGGAGGTCGGCGAGGGCGCGTCCCACCTGGTAGGTGGCTAGTTGGCGCACCGCGAGTTCAGCACCTCGGATGTGGAGGTGCATGGTGGCGCATGCGGCTCGTTGCACGTTCTCCTTGACTTGCGCTGGTCCAGCCGGGCGGTGCATCAGGCAAAAACGCCTTGTCTCCAGAGTGCAACGGAGTCTCGAGAGTAGCCGGAGCAGCCTGAGACAAGTACCCTTTTATGGAGCATCTCGGAGCTCGGCGGGCGGCTCGCGCGTGCTCTGGAGTCTTGGCGCCAGCTCACCGAGTGCTCTGGAGTAGCTCCGAGCACCCTCTCCAGAGTACTCTGGAGCAGTCGCGAGTACGTTTGCACCAGTGCAAATCCTGGGGTCTGGTCATCCATATCACACATTCATTGGACAGGCATAAAATATATTGATTTGACGGGCAAAACAGCATGTACTACTGGTCGCCTACAACACTCCCGAGGTGACGAAACACCCTCCTACCCAGCTCCATTGCGCCCAGCGATCTCCGCATTCCCAGCCCACGACACCTCTCCCTGGCCCTGACAGCTACGACCCGCACGACGTTCAAGCGTAGCGCGGCTCCATGCACCGCATCGCCCGCACCCACCACCCGCACCCAAACAGAACCCCACTCACCGGCAACGCGTTCTTCGCGCCCCAAGCTCCATCTCCACGTCGCGCCTGAGCACCCGATGGCCGTGGACCCGCACCTGCAGGCCATCTGTGACTGCTTCGGGCCCGGCGGTGCGCACGCGTTGTTGCGCGCGTAGTCGCGCTCCCCGGGCTTGTGCTCATGTTGGGTATGGCCTCCAACGCCGTATGGATATGACCATGACGATGAGAGACTGGGCGCACATCTTCACTGTTGCGGGCCTAACCAGGCGTAACACGCAACGGTAGCTCAAGGGAGGAGCGAGCAAGGCTACGAGTTCTCATCTATCAAAGACTGTCAGCGGGGGAGAGGGAGACGAGCGGGAGGAGACGTACCTTACGAGCGCCGTGATGTTGTCGTATGCGGACGCAAGCAGACACAGACTGGGACGGAGGGGATCGCGGGGCTTGCCCATGAATATACAGGCGCAATACAAGAGCAAACAAGTAGAAATTGTACTTATGTACGAAAAGAATGCAGCTGCGTATCGTCGTCGAACAGGGAGGATGGTGTCGGGCGAGTGTGTAGTGCCACCCGCATGGACTTGGGCTGGGGCTTCAAGCAAATTGCGCGTCAGACGACAATGCGGGCTGGGAACGCGGCAGCAGAGCATCAGAAGGGGGAAAAACTCACCGTGTCGGCCGCCGCAGCGCCAAAGCATGCACGTCGTGCCATGCATTTGTGTCGTCCCCCGAGTGGCGTGCGAGACGCTTTCAGTCTCCGTGATCGAATAGTGTGTGCGGAGCGCTATGGAAGTGGTGAGAATCGGGGTGAAGACAAAGCTCGAGAGTCGAAAGGAAATGGATTTTAAAGACAGCGAAGGGGGTGAATAGAAATGGCGGAGAGGTTGTGAATGAGAAGGTTGTGGGAGAGGCTGCCGAGAAAAGTGTGGCCGAGGGCGATAGCGACTGGGAAGTCAAGACAGCAGGGGCGCCGAGAGGAGTAGCGAAGTGGGGGAAAACAAGAAAAGACGCGTGCGCTGGCAACGCCGACGGCGCACACGCGGCCTGCGCTTGCCGTGGGAATCACCTTCTGTACACAGACCTCGTTGCCTGGCACCTCGCTGTCTACTTCGCCACGCTCAACATGTCCATCTCGCCGCGCCTGTCTCACCGCGCTCCACGTGCCCACCTCGCCACACTCGACGTGTCTACCTCGCCGCGCTCAACGCGTCTGTCTTGTCGTTCTTTGTGCGTCTACTTCGCTGCGCTCGACGCCGTCTCATTGTGCTCAACACGTCCATCTCACCGCGACCGACATGTTCACTTCGCCACACTCAACGCATCTATCTCGCACGCGTCCACTTTCCCGCGCCCGAGGTGCTTATTTAAACTTTACACACCCAGTATTTACTATGTAATAGTGCAATACTTGATGCAACTGCGGTTTCTCAGTCGAGCACATTTGGTCTCAAATAGCGCTGTGAACCGGAAAGGTAGCATCTCACAGCCTAAGCATCCCATTATGTCACCAAACTATACTACTACGTGCTCGTGTCCGTCAAAGGTCCCGATGCGAAACACCCCAACACCCGAGCACCCAGGTCCCGGTCCCCGGAAGCTCCTGACCCCTGGCCAACACTCTCGAAACATCCTGAGTGTCCAGCCAAAGTTTCGAGATCCACCGTGCACCCTGCGAAACACTCGAGGCCAACTGAGCGGTCTGCAAGACTCTCAAGAACGCCAGAGTCTCCCACGCCGCTCAGGTGTCCTCGAGGCCATCGGCGGTTGCTCCAGAGTGCTCCGGAGATCTCCCGCGCGTCGCTCGGGGCACGCAAGTCTCCGCGAGTTCGGGCCGGCGCTCCCGTGCAAATGGTTTTTTCCTGATGTGTACGAACGTGTTAGCTTCTAGGTGGGTTTGGTAGGCGTCGACAAAGATCCGGTAGGTTTCGATGGCGTAGGTGGCCCCCGGGATGTGTTCGGTGCGCACGTGCACTTGGTCGTGGAGATCGGGGTGTGCGATGACCCATCCGATGCGAAGACCGAAAGGGGCAGGGGCGTTGTTGTGGAGGAACGTGACCACCTGGACCTCACATCAATCAGGTCCCCTTAGCCCGAGCCACGGGGGGGGATGGCCCGGGCCAAGCAGACCTGATTTCCCGCCCCCGCGCATGTTTGAATAATGCCTCCAATAAACCCGGGCAGTTTCCCTGAAGGGAAGTGTTCGAACTCCCTCCCTCCCAAGTCCCCCAACCCATCACGTGTCCCCCTCCCTCGTATCTCCCATCAGTCCCGTTATCTCTCCCGCTGCGCGCCCGTGTTATCTCCCGCGCTCCCCGCCGCGCGCCTCTACCCCGCCGCGCGCCTTCCCGCCCCGGTGATGTCCGCCCCCTCGAGCTCGCTGTCTTCGACGGCGAGCTCGCTATCTCCCGCCCTCCTCCACCGTTTCCTTCCGTTTTTTTTGCAAACATGTATTATTTACTTGTGCGAATACATTGGTGCTGTTCATATAACATACAAAGACGGACAATGCAGGGGGACAAGAAAACATACCTCTGCCCAGTACCCACCCATCGCCGCCAGGCACGGAAGTAACATGCCGGGGGTCGGCACATCACCCGGAATGATGGGAGGGCAGCGGCAGCGTTGCCGGGCGCACCAGCAGGCCGCGTGGCAGGCCGCGCAGCGTGATACTCAACGCTCCCATATTCCAGGGAGAAGCTTCACCATGCCGGGGGTCGGCACCTCCCCTGGAATGATGGGAGCGTGGCAGGCGCGGTTGCCAAGCGCACCAGGACGCGGCGTGGCGGGCCGTGCTGGAAGCTAAGCATGTGGTCAACAACGAACTTGTAAAGGGTTTGTAGTCACGCTTAATGACTTTTGATTGACACTCTGTAAATGGCAGATAAACATCTGTAAGGAAAGCCTTATGATTTATAACATAAGAACAGAGTCAACTACGCTAGTACGAGTAACTTTCAGCTCGAGAAGGGATAGATACACCGTTGGTGGGCCCGCTCTCCACAAATCCCGGAAGGTAACTAAAAGGCGGCGGCGGGGCGTATTGCGAGGGTGGCGGGGTGAGCAGGGAAGCACTAGACTGCACGGCTCCGCAGGGTACACCCTGCACGATGTTGGGGAGTGGGGGCGCGCTGTGTGGGAGGCCGGGGAGCGGGGGTGCACCTTGAAGCGGGAGGACGGGGAGTGCGAGCGTGCCGTGCTCGAGGCTGGAGAGCGGGACCGCGCCGTGCGCGAGACCGGGGAGCGGGACCGCGCTGTGCGCGAGACGGGGGGGGTGCGCTGTGCGCGTGCACGACGCGGGGGGGACCGCACCGCGCGTGAGACGGGAGCGGGAGCGCGCTGTGCGCGAGACCGGGGAACGGGGGTGCGCTGTGCGTGTGCACGACGCCGGGGAGAGGGACCGCGCCGCACGCGAGACCGGGGAGCGGGGGTGCGCCCTGCGGGAGGACGGGGAGTGGGATCGCACCGTGCGCGAGGCCGAGGAATGGGGACACGCCCTGCGCGAGGCCGGAGGGCGTGGACAAGGGCGGCGCAGATGGGGAAGGACCGGGAGGCACAGACGAGGCCGTCAAGGATAGTAAGGGCGGAGCGGGCGGCGCAGGCGGGAAAGGACCAAGGGGTGCAGACGAGGCCGTCGAGGACGAGTGCGAAGGACCGGTGGCCTCAGCAGCCGTCCCTTTCTTCTTCTTGGACCCAGTAGACTTCTTCGTCTTCTTGCTGGCCGTCTTCTCGCTGCTGTTGCCTGACAGCGCGCTTGCCGCAACGGCAGCAGTGTCTTGATTGACGGTGGAGACGGGCTGCGGCTTCTTACGCGGCTTGTCCTTGTCCGAACGTTGCTTCCTGACCTTAGGACCGCGGACCACGCCGCCGTCTGTAGCGAAGTCGGTGTGAACAAATGTCATGGTGGGCGGGACCACAGGGGAATCGGCAGAGGCGGCGGTGGTGAGCGCGGCAGTGGGCGGAGGAGGAGTGAGGGCCGTGGACGCGGATGCGGTCGGACTCGCCGTCGCCGCCGCTGTGGTGGAATCCAGAGGTGGGGCGGTGGCATTCGTAGGGAGGGCAGAGGAGAGCGTGGGGATAGCGGGTGCGGGCTCAGCGGATATGCTCACGGGAGGTCCATACTTCTCGCACTTCCAGGCGTCCCACTCCTCCGTGTTCATTTGCCTGAAGCGCGTTGCCTTGTTTCTCCACGCGTTGAGCACTGTCAGTGCTTCGAGATGACCCATCTTGCTGGGTGCGCACAGTTCGCCTGGCCAATTCTCCAGGATGATGCCGTAGCGGTAGGTGACGGACCCTGCGAAATCTGCGTACACCATACGCGCCAGGGCCCCATTAGAAACCGTTTCTGAACCACAAATGTCAGCAGAGGGGACAGCTAGAACTACGATGCACTTACTGAGCTGCGAGGAAATTTCCTCGATGAGCTGCCGCTTGACTTCAGCGGCGCCGGCCTGTGCATTGGTTGCCACGCCTGACAGATGGAAGCCGTCAGTATGGCATATCAATGATGTTAGAAGCATCACTTACTTTCAATGCCCGAGATAAAAAATGCTTCCATGCGAACCCCCAGGTCGCCGACATGCATGCCGTTCCCAAGGCATAGGTCGAGGTAGTCCGTCACCCGGTTGCTGGTGGGGTAATACATGGGAGGGTTGTACGCGTCATGGTGCGTGCGGAAGAGGACGATGAAGCCCTCAGACCCGGTCCTCTCTTTGAGGTTTTGCAGCTGAAAGAACATCAGTCAGCAGCGGGCCTTGACATCGCGTGAGTACGTTACTTACCTCGGTGATAAGTGCATCCCACGTCGCGCTGACATCACGGAACGCGTCCAGATGCGCATTGTACGTACCTGTCTCACGATTGTCGCGCCGTTCTTCCAACTCCTTGACTCTCTCAGCGGTGGCAGCGGTGCGCTCAGCGGGGGTCATCGCCTTCCATTCCGCAGAGATCTTGGCCATTACGTCGCTGGTGGATAGGTTGTCCTTCGCTCCCGACGCGACGTCTGTAAGATATCGGTGAGTCGCTCCCATCGTACTGAAACGCGAACTCACATTGGTTACGTTGCTCCATACCAAGACTAACCCACGCGTTCCATTGACCGATGGCGCGCTTGTGCTTCTGAAGCTTCCCCACCGCGTGATGGAGCATCTGGCTGTAGTACTCCGGGGTGTGTTCTGGGAATTGCTCATGCATTGACTGCGCCCACACGAGGTTCTCCTCGTGCCGCGTCTTGAGCTCGGTATCTATCGTGGTCTTCTTCTTCTTCTTCTCTTCCTGGCGCTGCTTCTTTTCTTGGGGCGTGTACTTGCGGCGAATGCGTGTGCGACCCACTGGCTGGTGGCGTTCCTTGACGGTGCGCGTCTCGTTACGCAGCCGGAGCATTCCCAGCGCGCTCTTGACCTGGGAACGCGCCATTGTCAGGTAGGGGGAGAGCGTTCTCTGTGGAGGGGCAGACCAGCCTCCCAGGCGCGTTTGCTCACACGTGAGGGCGTAGGAATCTCGTAAGCATTGATGATCGTAATCACATACAAACAAAAAAAACTACTGCGAATGATGATCAGACCGTGGCTTCGGGAGATTGATTTGACACCACAGCACCAGAGCATCAGCGCGCGTCCACGGCAGGACATGCGAGAGGACGTCCGCGAATTCCTGCTGGCGAACGTTGTAGATGAACACCACCAGAATAACAACGCGGTGCTCTAGAGACGTCCCGCGCTCGTCGAGCATCCTGTCCGCGCGGGGGCCGAGGGTGATCATGTGCGTGCTGGTCGGCAGCTGCGCGTAGTGTGGGCGGAAGATCAGCCGCAGCGCCAGTTCATCCGGCGGGAGGTGATACGGGATCGCGCCGAGCCCCCCTGTAAATCGGCATAGTATCAGCAGGGCCATCGCGATTCGTGGCGCTGAACATACCAGTGTATCGCTCAGCGGTGCGGGGGGAGATGGGCTCGGGCGTATAACGCGTGGGGGGCGTGGGCGAGCTGGAGACCTCCAAGCGGATGTCCCAAGGAAGAGGGACCTCGACGACGGGGCGGGTCTGGAATACGTTCGGGGCATCCGGGTCGATGCCGCGCGGTGACGTGGACGCGGGATTGGGCCGGCGGTGGGACTGATATGGGGCCGGCCGGGGCAAATCCTGTCCCCCATTCGCTTCGCTTTCTGAGATGCTGAGAGACGTGATGATCGCATTGAGAGAGACAGGCGAGGGCGAACTGTAGGCGGGCGGCGGAGAACGGGGGGCTGCAGTCGAAGATGTCTATGCTGGGGAAGACGACGCGGGGGGCAGCACAGAGGGGGCCAGATCGGGAGACTGCACGGGGGAGACGGTCCGCACCTCGACTGTCTCACTAAACGAGACACGACGGGAGCGAGAGGGGGCGCGTTCCTCCGAGCTGGGGCGAGAGCGAATGCAAGAGGGGGGAGCACAAGACGCGGGGCGAGAATGGGCAGCAGGAGTTGGGGGGCGAGAGATGGACCGTGGGCAGGGGCGAGAGACAGACCGTGGGCGGAGAACGAGGGCTCGCTCTTCTTCCTCATGAGCGAGAGCGAGAGGGGCGTCGATCATCCATAGGAGGGCTAATCGGAATGTCGGCATCTTCTTGTGGTCTGCCCCCGACACTCCAAGGACAAGATGCGATATCTCTTGCCTGGGTACTTGTCATCCGCTGAACCTGTCACAGATACATAAAAAACGCACCATCTGTACCCGACCCATATGCCCACCTGCAGGCCAACCTTGATACAGTAGACCTTCGTCGTCTGTGGGCTGGCGGCCGCAGTGTCTGGGCTTGAGAGGCAGATCGCGGCAATGGTGTCGGTGTCGGTGGTGTGGTCCTCCGCGGCGAGGTCCGCGTTGATGGCGTTGATTGATTCTGCATCCTCGACGCTGGTAGTCGCCACGATGAGGGGAAAGACACCTGCGTGAACTCCCACGGTGAGGTCATCGGGCCTGAAAAAGAAGTATGAGCGTGGGGAGCAGAGGTTGGGGGATTGAATTGATTGAACTCACCTATCAGGATAGACACCCACGGGATCGCCGTCCACGCCGAGGACAACATAACTGGAGGTCGCCGCCGACATGGTGCAGGACAAGGAGGGCGAGTCAGCGCCAATCGCGGGCGCGGCACGCCAGATCAGCCACTCCGACATTCTCGGAACCATGTCCTCCGCTATGTTTTTGCTCCCTACATCATGTAATACCACCCAGACCTCAAACAACGCTATCAGAATATACTCAGTACGTGTTTGCGAGTCGTTTCCAGGAAGAATCTCGCTGATCGGACGTGTCCCCAGTCAGTTAGCTATGGGAAGCCACTTTGAGTGCAGAACCTGCACGGATTTACGTGCAACCCGATGCTCAAACCTTGTTCCAACACGCTCTTTCACCCCTCCCGACCCCGTCCCCCCACATATATTCAATATAACACCTGTATCGTATACTAATATGCCCCCCCAACATACTCCCGCCGTCTGTACACCATCCTAGCGCTTCGTTCGAATAGAAATAAGTCCTCAAGGAGTGAAAATAGAGTGATCACCACGCTGCTATACATGTGCACACGTATTACGTCTGCGCGAGCCCTCCGGATGATGTGATAACAACTGGCTCATCTCACAGTATCTTATAAGACTGTTATTATCTTACCGCGGCGTGCGCGCGCAAGCCAGAAGAAGTCATTTGTACGGTATTACATCACTGCAGCGACGTCTACTAGATGTCCCATCAAGCTTGCCGCAGCCTCTGCCTCCTCATCCGCTACCCCGTCCGACCCATCGTCCTCACTGTCATCGTCCCCATCGTCCCCATGATCACCGCCATCTCGCTGGGGCGAGTGCTTGCATCGGGGAACGCTAAGATGAACGTGCCGGTGAGGAGGGAGGCAGAGGAGGATGTCTCCTCAGCCTCGTGAGCGCGCGCGGCCACAAATATCGCCTCGGCAGGAATCGCGCCTTCGCGCGGAGGCCCTGAGTATGTCCCTGGTGTCGTCTCGCCCATGTAACCCGGCAGCGCGAAGAGTTTGTTGAGATGGCGCAGGATGTGCGCGTTGTTGGCATTACGGCGGATCACATGCTCGGCCACTTCGCGAAGGACAGGGCTGTCTCCCACAGACTGCATGTACCATAGTACAGTCTTGAAGTGCCGTTCTTCGTCATGGATCGACGTCAGCACACGGCGAGCTTCACAGTGCACGCGCTCCACTTCTTCGTGAGCACGCGCGAGGCGGCGCCCGCACCGCATGGCCTCGCGCGCGAGGGGTTGAGCCCAGACCTTGCCCTTGAGGTCGTTGCGTGTGTCGTTCAACAGCGCGAATTCTTCCACAAAGCTGAAGTGTGATACCCGCTCCCAGTCCAGGGAAGGGCGCGGGGGAGTGAGAGCAGCGGCGGCGGAATTGTATGCCTTGACGGCGGCGCGGATGGCCTTTGAGCGCTTCTGCAGGTTCTTCGCGATTTGGGTGCGCACCTTGTAGGCTGTGCAAAGGGATTGTTAGCAGGATATAACAAAAGACGCAGAGGAATACATGAGAGACAAGTGCGTGGACGCGGGGTAGACTCATGCATACGGGCGGAGCGCGAGCCGGTGCGCGCGCGAGGGGCGGGGGGGGGGCGCGAGGGGCGCGCGGGCGCGATCAGCGGGCGTACGCGATCAGGGGGGACGTCGGGTGGTGCGGGTGCGGGGATGATGCCCGGAGTGATCGGGGCACCGAAGTGGAGCAGATCGTGGGGCAGATCGCAGAGGATAGTAGTAATAACTCACCGGTCTGTGCGAGATTGAGCTTATGCAGCTCAAATAGACGTTGGACGACGAGGCGTTGCAATCGCCCGAGTGCCTGCTGGTATTTTCGGGTCGAGATATACTGTAGAGTGGTTTGATACTCCGGATGGGTTGGTGTCCATGACTGATTGAGCTCTAGGGCCACTTCCCACTCCGTAATGTCTGCTCGGAGACGATCGATCTTGTACGTGAGCTCACGGCGTCGGGACTCCAGTCTCCGAGTGGACTTCGCGTAGGCGTTGTAGTCAGTCGGACCAGAGGACGGCGTGAGGAACTGGTAGTTCGCTGGGACTGTACTGCGCAGCGCCACCGAAGTCCTGTCGAGCTCGTTCCTGAGTGATCGAGGGAGTCAGATCAGAGGATGATCGAGGGCGGATCGTGTACCTCGTCGCTTGCAGCTCTTGAAGCGCCATCACGTACTCGACCGTGTAGATATCCCGGGGCGCTTCATCCTGGAGATTGGCGAAATACTCCCGCTCCGCGGAAGCGAAGCCCTCCAGCTGGTCAGTAGTGACTCCCATGGTAGCTAGAGCCTCCCTCAACATGGGGGTCGTCTTGTTGATGATGTTAATGGCCTGCTTGTAGTTGTTGAGGAGGAATTCGCCAAGGTTCGTGTGCTTCTCTTCATCCCGATGTCGGAAAAATAGCGTCATCAGCGCATGGCGCCGGTAAACAGACGCGTACCGGATAACCGGTGCGAGAGCGTTGGAGTCACTGAAGACGCGCTCAAGGGTCTCCAGGTCTTCAAGACCCATGCCTGCTATACCGAGCGGATGGTTGTCAAGCTGGCAGGGGTAGGAGTGTGAATAACCGTGGAAAGCATTCACACAGCAGCGCGAGCCGGACTTCGCAAAGTCCGGACCGACAGAACTCCTGGCCAGCGTAGTCTTGAAGGTACAGCCGATGTCGTAGCCGACAATATGCGGGCCGGGGATAGTGTCGAGAAGCTTTCGGACCATAGCGATCGGGTATTTGGCGCTAGGTGATCCGGATCAGTAGGCACCCTCAAGAATAGAGCAAGATACTTACAGCTCGCCGCTGCGTACCATGTCCGCGATCCACGTGATCCGACCATGGGCGCAGCACATCGCGAAGATACCCGTCTCTTCGAAAATACCCCACATCCGCTTCTTCTCGTCTGCGGAGGCCGCTTTCCAGTTGGACGCGCACGCAGAGTTGATGGCGCCATCAGTCGGATCACCTTCCGTAGCCGTGGGATCGGCATCTTCGATCAGGTCATCGGCGTCGGCATCGGCTGTGGCATCTCCGGCATTGATGGGAACTGATCCCTCTGGAACGGCGACATGGGGCTGGCCGCGAGAGACCTCGTTTGCAAAGGTATCGACAAACTCCCGGGGTAGCATGTAATCACAGGACCAAATCCTGGTGTCTCCTTGCAGTCGCCCACCAGGTGTGGCCATCCTCTTCAAGGAATTGTTCGCATCCATGACCTCCTTGCGGACATACGTAGGTGGCTTCTCTTCTTGAATCTATTGGTGACGTCAGTGATGCTCATCCCATCAGTCTGCCCGTGATCAAACCTTGTATCCGCATGCGCAGCAGCCGTGAGTTACTCGCCAATTCTCCGCCGTCCGCCCAAGCTGATTATTCACGCGAGCAATAACCTCTTCCAGTATCATCACATAGGCATCGAAAGCCTGGATGATGGCCCTCCCATAACGGCGGTGGTAGGGCATCTAGCAAAGGACTGTCAGCGCTATTCCCGGGGTTCGGCTATCACTCACCTTGTATTTATAGCACGCGAGCTTCGCAAACGCTTCCATGCTGAAGGAGGGCTTGACAAGACGAATGATGCGGAGCCACTCTAGCGTCTTCAGGGCAATCGCCATCCCCGGCTGCTCTGGAGTGATCCCAAGATAGCCGCTGCAGATGAGAGCCTCGGAAGTCGTTTGATCCGCCTCACGAGGAACCCGGACCGAGTCGCTGAGGCTGTCAATATCAATTACCTCGATATCAAAGTCGTATTCCGATGGTTCTTGACTAGTGCTCCCGCCACAGTGCTTCCAATGTAAGTACGCGTCGGTTATACTGGGCAGCAGGTCGGTCCACTTCTTGTGTGCAACCTGGAGGCGCTGCCTCCATTTCCGGATGTCCGCGGGCTTCCTGTTCAGCGCTCTGCCCCCCTGTTAAGACCCTGTCTGACGTCATTTTGATCCGGCGTACCTGGTGTTCAGTAGATCTCGGAGCGCTTCCGCAGCGGGATCCTTCGGCGCGGAATCGTCTTCCGCTTCCCAGCCATCTTCGTCTCCTTCACCAATGCCCATCATTACGTCTGCGATGGTGTCTGAAGGGTCTTCCACAGGATCCCCTCGCACGTCTTTCATTGCGCGCTGAGCCGCATCCGATAGTCCTAGAATCATACAGGTAAGATGATAGCAAGCTGTGTTATAAATATGAACAAACCAGACAGCATCTCATCAATTTTCCGGTCGGTTTCCTCGCGCTTCTCGGCAATCTCCTTCTGAGTGAGTTCTTTGCGCGTTGGTCCAGTCTCTTCATGGCTGTAAATGACTGTTTTGCGGGAGATCCCATTCCTGCTCTTGTGCTTGACCATGGCTCAGGGTCCAGTGAAAGAACATGTGCACCTTCCAGCCAGTATTTATTGGGCGGTGGCAGAGCCTTCAGCACGCTAATGTGAGACATAGTCTGGTCCCCGGTACATCTCTGCCGGAAAGGAGGGTGTTGAGTATCGATCTGCGCGCTCAACTTTCAGCCGACACGCGCTACACTACGTCTGGCCCCCTTGGCGCCTGCCCATCACTGCGTGCTTCCCTGTACCATATGCTAGCGTTGAGTATCGCGCTGCGCCCCAGATACACGCGGCTGAACACGCGCCTGCCCTGGCGCCATTCCATCATTGAGTAATCCCTGGTGCTTCTCTCTGGAATACACGGGCGTTGAGTATGACGAAGCGCGGCCCGCCACGCCGCGTCCTGGTGCGCTTGGCAACCGCGCCTGCCACGCTCCCATCATTCCAGGGGAGGTGCCGACCCCCGGCATGGTGAAGCTTCTCCCTGGAATATGGGAGCGTTGAGTATCACGCTGCGCGGCCTGCCACGCGGCCTGCTGGTGCGCCCGGCAACGCTGCCGCTGCCCTCCCATCATTCCGGGTGATGTGCCGACCCCCGGCATGTTACTTCCGTGCCTGGCGGCGATGGGTGGGTACTGGGCAGAGGTATGTTTTCTTGTCCCCCTGCATTGTCCGTCTTTGTATGTTATATGAACAGCACCAATGTATTCGCACAAGTAAATAATACATGTTTGCAAAAAAAACGGAAGGAAACGGTGGAGGAGGGCGGGAGATAGCGAGCTCGCCGTCGAAGACAGCGAGCTCGAGGGGGCGGACATCACCGGGGCGGGAAGGCACGCGGCGGGGTAGAGGCGCGCGGCGGGGAGCGCGGGAGATAACACGGGCGCGCAGCGGGAGAGATAACGGGACTGATGGGAGATACGAGGGAGGGGGACACGTGATGGGTTGGGGGACTTGGGAGGGAGGGAGTTCGAACACTTCCCTTCAGGGAAACTGCCCGGGTTTATTGGAGGCATTATTCAAACATGCGCGGGGGCGGGAAATCAGGTCTGCTTGGCCCGGGCCATCCCCCCCCGTGGCTCGGGCTAAGGGGACCTGATTGATGTGAGGTCCAGGTGGGCCATCTGAATGTTGGGGAGTAAGATCGATTGGTTCTGATGATTGAGTATTTAAGGACGAACCCGATCGAGGGGCTGCTCTGATGACTTTGTTTCTCACTCGTCCACTGGAAACTCCCGCAAGCTTGACTCTGGCTTTTCTGATTGAAAAATGCAGACTCGCCGCTCGACGACAGTTGTCCGGCACGGCGGAGGGTTCTTATACTTACGACTTGGTGGAATCATGGATGACGTGACACCGAAGGAAGACACGGTTATATGAGATACTGCGCGGGATTTTGTCTGTGTGGCCGTTGAGTTTTCACTGCACCATGACACAATAGGCTTTTTTGCAAAGATCCACCGTCCTTGACCGGGGATCAAGAGTAACTAAGGTCAGTCAGGTGGTGCAAGTTGAACTCACGCAACTCCCGAGAACATTCCTGGAGACAGCGATAACAGTGCCGGAAGTCCGCTCGCCAATGTACTCATGAGCATTGCCGCGTAACGTACCCGGCGGATACCCGCATAATCCCGCTGCGCGGCGACCTATGTCGTGTCCCACGAAGGATATTATGGCATGAAGCCAAGGATGTAGTGATACAGCACGCTCAAACTGCAACCAATTCTCATTCTACCACCGATATGCCTCACGCCAGCGCCACCTCGAGCTCCCTCACCTCCGCCGCCGCCAGCCCTCTCACGTCTCCGCTCCCAGCCTCCCCCTTGGCGCCCTCCAGCCAGCCCCTCACCGCGCGCTTCTCGCCGTCGCGCATCTGCGCCCCGCGCCCGCAGCCGACTGCGTACGTGTGCAGCGTCCGGAGCAGCTTCTCCTCCGCCTCCTCGTCGTGCGTCGCGTCGCCGTCCGGGCCGTGCGGCGTCGGGGCGGCGAGCGCGCCGACGACCGCGCGGAGGAGCGCGTGGTCGTCCGCCTCGAGCGCGCGCACGGTCCCGGGGGATGTCGCGAACGAGGACGGGTCGCGGACCATCGACGCGTGCGAGTTTGGGTGCACGGGCGCAGAGGGTGGGGGTTCGGTGGTGACGTTTGTCGAGGCGGTGGCAGTGGTGGAGGTGGACTCGGAGGGATGGAGGGTGAGCACCTGCGATTGAGGCTGGGACTGAGAGTGGGAAGGAGCGGACACAGGTGCGGGAGCGGAAGACGTCGAGGTTGAGGTTGAGGAGGATGGGGGCGCGCTGGCTATACTGGGGGCAGGGATGAGGAGCGTGTTGAGGAGGAAGGCGACCTTGCGGCGGACGGCGATGTCCGAGTCCTGGAACGCGTCTGCGAAGACGGTCCAGCCACTGAGGTCGTGCATTGCCTGCACGGCGGCGGCGTTGTGCTTGAGGAGGCCTGAGAGGGTGTAGACCGCCCGGGAGCGTGTCTTTGCAGAGCGCGCGGTCTCGGGAGTGGGGAAGGTGAGGAGGGTGCGCAGTGGAGAGAGAGCGAGGTACTGGACGCAAAGTGAGTACAGAGCAACGAGAACATTGCGGACAGACACGCACAGAGTCTTGGGCGGACGGGTTGTTTTGGACGGCAGTGCCGAGGACCCAGAGCACATGCCGCTGAATCTCTTCAGACGATGTGGGGTTGGTGAGAAGTGCATGCAAGGGCTCCCACATCTTGAGCTTTTCGAGGTCTGACGCATGCGCTCAGCGACGCGCGCGAGACGCAGGAAATAGTTGGCGGCACTCACTATTCGCGTTGTCGATCTGCTCGACGAGCATCTCGAAGTCGTCCAACGCCTGCACCCTCTCGTCCTCGTCCAGCTTCTCGTCCACCGCCTTCCCGAGTGCCTCCTTCATGAGCACCGCGTCCGATTTGCCCAGGATCGCGTCGATGATCCCAGGGTCCAGGTCTGTACGCGGTTGCGGAG